ACGACACGCCCTTCCTCCCTGCCAGTGACTGACGCTTGCTGCAGGCGGGAAAAAATTCACGACTGCGCATGAATGTCCCCTCCACATCTCCACCGAAGGGACCCTCCCGCGCTTCATTGGTTTACGTGGGAATAAAGAAGGCTCGATACTTTTTGAACACACCATGTAATGTGATTTTCATTATGGCCCGTGTACTGAGCCTAGGAGTTATACCACTGATATCAGCATTGAAATGGAAGGTGTTTCACTTTCTTTATACAAGATATTTATCAAAACTGGAATTATTTGAATATGGTGCCCAACATAAAATCATTATGAATGTGAGACCCCTAATTTTTAAATTAAGTAAAAGTTAGGAGAAAAAAAAATTGTTTTATATTTCAGTAACTACATTATAATAATTGTGTATGGAAGACATGTTGCAGGGTGGGAATCAACATGAACAAAATACATGTAAGAATATGGTGTACACAAATGGATGAATTAGAATATGCTCTGGACACTATTTGTAATGGTGCAAGATGAGTATACAAGCTGAAGCTGAAGATGTGCTTTTGAAAACAATTTGTGTGTAATAGTGGCCGGCACTTTTGAAAGTTGAGTTACAGGTGTGAATTGCTGAAAGTGTTGTGTTCGTTGCTTCACATGAGGATATTTAGCTGATGTATAAGCAGGTCTGTTTGTAGAGCACTGTGTCACGCCTCTCATAGCTTGTGCATATGTATGGGACATTGTATAATAACCTATGTTTCTGAAATTTTTGAACAATAATTCTGTCTTCGTATTTTCATCTTCATTTAATATTACTAAGAAATTACATTTAACTTCTCAGTCAGTACTCCATTGATCTAAGTAATATTCACGGCCGCGCTATAGCTCAAGCAGTTAGTTGCTGGCTTCCCACCGCGGCAGCCCAGGTTTGATCCTGGGTCTGGTCAAGTGAGATTTGTGGTGGACAAAGTGGTGCTGGGTTAGGTTTTCTCCAAGTACTTCGGTTTTTCCTGTCAATCTTCATTCCACCAATTGCTCCACAATCACCCTCACCTATCATCTGGGGCTGGTACAATAGGCCAGAAGTGGCCGCAGTACAAGGGACTTAGTCCCACCCCACTAGCAATAAAAAAAAAGTAATATTCACACTCCAAGTTTGAAGACTTACAGTAAATGAATAAATATAGTATTCATCTAAGATATCTCAGGCTTTTACTATACCAGTATCATGTTGGGTTCTTTGCATTGTCTGAGGTACTGGTATCAAAAAAATAGTAATAGAAAGTAATTATGAAAGAATCTGTGTAATGACAACCAGTCACCTGAAGATAGAAGTACAGCCAGCTCACAAAATATTGTATGTATCAAATACTGCCTTATAAAATGGACGGTTTCCAACATAATACTCATGTAATGAATTGGCAGTTGCCAAAAAACACTATAGCAGTTGTTCTTCAACATTTTACTGCTCCAGAACACTTAGTGGTGAAATGCTTTCATGGAACCCACACACGGATGCTTATTTTTTTAATGCTTGTTTCTCAGGTATAACACTATACGCAAAAGGTTCAGATTAATCCATCTCATACTTCAGAAAGTTGCTTATGTTGTATTTATCTAATGTAAGTGGTGGGTCTGCTTACTGTCTGTGTGGATCTTAAAGTCAGGTGGAATGTTGGAAAGCTGTATCGTTACCTCTAGTTCTGTGTTAAGTCTGCTACAGTATTTCATATTTGTTTCGTCATTCCTTGACAAGACTATTTCAGACAGATATATAGCTGCAGAAGGAAGTAGTTTCTTCACACCTCCATTTGGAATATGTAGAAGCACTTCAGATTGGCCAAAAAGTTAAGATTTCTCTGTGTATCTTTCAAATGTACATCTCTTAAAATATCAGTTAACTTGTCACATTGTTCTGTTGTCCTGCCAGAAGGTGCCTAGATTTATTATGTAACCAGTGGAAACCTTCTAACCCTTGTGGAATATACTCTTTCACACTAACTTATAGGTCTTGTAAATGCTAAATGTGTCTGACCAAACAGTGTCATTTATTTGACTCTCATTTCAGTCAAAAAGTTGTTCAATGTAGAAAGACACTTGGTGACTTTTTTTATCACATCCTCCAAAACTCTATTGTGCAACAAGAACTCAACTTCTTTGTGTTCTGAGGTATATGTGATGGCTGTACTTTAAAATGATCAATTAAATTGATACTCGCAAAAATGTAATCTAAACATACTGATATCTGAAGCCACACAGCGTTGCACAAACATGGTGAAAATTTTAAGGGGATGATAAAACTAAATACAATTACTGAATTCATTGAGAATACACAAACTGAAAGCTTACATTGTGGTAACTATTGAATCTGAGTGTGCAGCAGCAGTATTATATAACTGCTACTCACATAGTTCACTGGAAGTTTTTGATTTTAGTTGTTTGAGTTTAATAAAATTTGCAGTCCATACAACTGCATTTAACGCCATTTTCAGTGCACTTGTATTGCTCGATGCAGTAAGAATGTGATGACAGGTTATAACTGTAGTAACTGGTGCACACTGGTGCAGTAGTTTTAACCTGTGCAAGAGAACTACACCTTTTTCCCTAGTAAATAATGTATCACCCGTGTTGTGAATAAGAATGCATTGTCTTCAGCTAAGTCTTTTGCAGACATATATGATTCAAATAGCATGTAAAATCCTCCCTAGTAGTATGAGTCAAAGGTTTGCACATAAGCAGGGGTTTAGTATCTTAATGTGTTTGTATAATGATACCATGCACCAAAACTTATGCATTTCAGATGCTGCCTTTCAAATAATAATAATAAGGACACATAAATTAATACTTTTAATTTGAAAATATCTAACATTTCTCCACAGATACACTTGGTGTACTTGCACGAAGTGTAGGACCAGAGCATTTCTTACCCCTAGCCCAGGGAACTGCTCAGCTAGGTCTGAATCTCCTAAGTAAAACAGATGACCCTGAACAACGGAAAAGTTGTTATGGCTTGTTTGCCGCACTGTCCACAGTGCTGAAGGACGACATGAGAAACATACTGCCAACTATAGTTGAAATGATGTTAGATGCTCTGACGAGTACTGCTGGAATTTTGGTAAGTAGTGGTTGTGCTGTGTCACATGTTGTCAGCACACACATGTGTTGCACAGTCACTTCTAATTATCTTACCAACTGCAGAAACATCCTGCTCTGTTAGTCATCTCTTGTAATTATGTTTTCAATTCTGGAGCAGGGCACTTCTCGAGAAGCTAATGTTTAGTCATCCACTGTGCCAGGAAATTCCTCACCTTTTATGGAACCTGAAGATACTTTACCTTGTTTGCAGGATTCTACCACTGGACCCTTTACTCAAACAGTTTTAAGCCTGTTCACACCCTCACACCCATTTTCTTAAGATGTGCTAGGTCTCCAGGGGCCGTTTTCAACATAGTTTTCCAATTATTACTGCTGGAGAGATGTACTCGTAACATGCTGTCCATCTCATGGGGCATATTTTAGGTGAAACTGATATTCCATCATCATTGAAGTATTCTATGATTTTTTTTTCTTTTGCTGTTTTGTGCCACAGTTTAAAGATTTAAATATGTGGTACCATATTCTTCTGTGTAATTCAGTGAATGTGTTTACCAAATGTGCACTGTGCTTTTTGAACTAAATGCTCCCATTTGTTTGGGGAAGTGATTTCAATCCTGTGAGGCCCTTCCTTAAAGAACAGAAAAATAATCAGAGTACAACTTTAATTTGATGTTCCTTGATTTGGGGTTCCCCTCATTTGAAATTCAACTTCAGTGCTCCAGTCTGTATTAAATTACCGCCATTTAAGATTTTCCTGAGATTATGTTCAAATCCACTAGTCCCCAAAGAAACCTTAAATAGGTGTTTCACTGTATATCTGTGCCTAAGTCTTTCATCATAAAGGTAAAGCTATCCCCGTAACAAGCTGTGAAGGCCCATAGGGTTGTGAGATGTCGAGGCTCCCACATTTTCTCTTAGACATTCAGCTCAAAGATGGGGCTAAGATTGTCAGTCTTATGCGCCAGCTACTCTTTACTCCCTAGGAAGATTCCTGGTACTTATTTCTGTTAGAGGCTGAATTGACCCCAGGGCCATAGTGTGACTGGAAGGATTAGGTAAATTGAAAAACTCCACCTCATTGGGACTCAAACCCATGACATTCCAGCTCGTAGCATAGTGCCTTAACCAACTAAGCTGCCACATGTCCCATCTGTCATCATAAGGGATGTCTATATCATGAACTTCAGGCTGAGCATATTGTCTCAAGCAGTAGTGCATCTGATTTGTGTTTGGAAATGTCTGAGTCACATCTTGACTGGGACACCAACTATCCTGACTTAAGGATCTTCATAGTTTTCGTCAGTCCCTTCTGACAAACTCGAGAATAGTACTTCAAATTAGGCCACATCTATTTCTTACCACATTATTTGCAATTTGTTACTAATTATTGTAACAGTCGATGCTATATAGTTGTGGCTTCTGATAACATCATTAAATAAGGAATAAATAAGTAAAATAAATGATCATCAGCTACTGTCTGAATTACTTTGGAGGATTCAAGTGGATCAAAAAACTAATGCATTTATAATTCTATTTCATAATAAAATTCATTTTTATTACACACCTGATTAGACCCATTGTGTGTGTTTCTTTGTTTTAATTAAAACCTCAGATTAAAATGCAGTTCATATAAGATTACTGTGTTTATTGCAGCCACATTACAAGGATGATGAGACTTCAGCCTTTCCTGTATATGAAGATTTGAGTGATACTTCAGAGGAAGAAGATATTGAAAAAGATTCTGAAGAAGATGAAGTTGAAGATGAAGATATTGCAGGTAAAGTACATTTTTCACAGTCTTCATCTGGGAGAAATGTAGGATTCCTAAGCAATTCCTACATGTGTTTTGAAAAAGCATGTTCAAAATCCTCAGTTAGTTTAACTATGTATTTTTGTATGTATACTCTGTAACTTATTAAAATCAAATGCTAATTCCTCATGGAAGCAGGGCAATGTCTGAAGTAAGAGACTGCCTGAGAAAGCAGAGTGAAAATTCTTGGCACCACTGTGGTAGACAGAGGACCCTTCAAGAACTCTGAAAAAGTTGGCTTTATGGATTTCCATGGCCCAGCAAGCCAGTGATGCATTGAAGAATGTACAGGGGCACGCGGTAGCGTAGTTGGTTGAGGGGCTATGCTACAAGCCAGAAGGTCGCGGGTTCAATTCCCCGATGAGGTCATTGGATTTTTTTCAATTGACCTAATCCTTCCAGCCGCACTAGGCCCTGGTGTTTACTCAGCCTCTAACAGAAATGAGTACCAGGAATTAATTTAATAATTTTCCTGGGGAGTAAAGTGCAGCCGGCGCGTAAGGCTGACAACCTTACCACCATCTTTGAGCTGATTGTCTAGATAGTATGGGATCCTCAACGTCTCACAACCCTATGGGCCTAAACGGCCTGTTACAGGGATAGCTTTACTTTACTTTTTTACTTTTACAGGGCCTTGGAGAGGTATTCCATAATCTGTTGATTTCCTTTTAGGTTACAGTGTTGAGAATGTTTATGTGGAAGAAAAAGAAGAGGCATGCATAGCTTTGACAGAGATTGCAAAAAATACTGGGTGAGTATGAATCACCACAGTAAAAGTTGCTAGCCATACAGTATTATGTTCTTTATTCTGATGTATTTTGTTTCCCTTTACCCCTCAGAGAAGCGTTCGTACCGTTCTTGGAGAGAAGTTTTGAAGGAGTGTTTAAAATGATTAACTACCCTCAGGATGATATTCGTAAAGCTGCTGTAGATGCCCTTCGTCAGTTCTGTATCTCTTTCAATGACATTAAGACCCCAGAAGGGAAAGTGGGTAAGTGGTAGAACTCGGTAACTACATTGACAGTGTGTCCATCGAGGAGCTTATTCGTGATCATATATGTAATGAAAATTGGGGTTCTCACAGCAGTAGCAATGAAGATTACTGTCTTCTGGGATGTTACGCAATTTTGTCTGGTAAAACTTTACCAACATTTTGGAGGAGTGTGGTACCTGCATCTTCAGGACAGAATAGTAAGCCAAGCCACAAATATTTGCACTGCTCTCTTTACTTATTTTGCTTCAGTCAAGGCTCTTAGCCCAATTGGACGTCTTTTCATATCCATACCACTTTTTTCTGTTCTCAGTTCTTCATCTATTCTGAAGATGGAGGCTTCATGTTTATCTGAAACATCGGTGAACTTCTACCAGGCTACACAGTACCAAATCCCAGAAGACATTATCTTTAAATATGCAGTGTGCAGTCCTTGTTTCTTACTCCATAATGTGTGTGTAAACGTACACAAAGAGACAGGCAGATAAACTGGGAGCTTGAAGTTAAAGGTGTACTACTGTGTCTGCTTGTAAATTATAAGACAGAAAAATTGAAATGTATAAAAAGTAAGTCTCCAAAATAATGCAGGGTTGTACGTACATTGCCTTCATATGAGGGAGTGCTGAACAGAGGTCACATATGTACTTTCGCTGCCATTGTGCCCAGTTGCTAGTAATTTTTGTACTGTTCCTGTATTGTTTTAATCCTTACAGTGCTAAGATTATTTGGATCAATGGTGAATGAAAATTGCTAGAAGTAGCAGCATCAACCAGGCATTCATCCATTTCTTACATATCTGTGATTCTGTCCCTCATGGTGAAGGCAAAGAACTGCCTGCAATGGCAAGAAACATAAATATTACAGATTTAGTAATTGTTTTATGTCAGGGACTCACATAAGGGTCAAACAAGTGAATTTAGTTGTTGGAATGTTTTTGTGTCTAGTTCTGTCCAAAGCTCTCTCGGTGCTAATCCCAAAGTGCGCTGAACTCATCCGTACAGATGAGGAACGGACTGTTGTTATGACAGCCTTAGATGCTTACTCAGAATTACTGAAGGAAATAAAGGGACCTGTCCTTGAGGGAGAAGGACATCGTGATGCCATCATCAACTGTATTAAGGACGTTATGACTTATAAGGTATTGATTTCAGACCCTTTGTTATTTGTCACATTGAGATTGAACAAAAATATTCCTCAGTATCAAAAGAAATAACTAGCTATTTGAATAATAATAAAGAAGTGTCATGTTTGATGGTAGCAATGTGATGCTTTGAGCTTATGTAGTATCTGATAAATTTAACCTGTATCATGTGGATTTAAATCTGCTGTTACAGTTCTGGCAGCCAGGCTTAAACTTGGCAGTAATGTCCATTGCTAGACAGCGGCTGGGAAACACGTTTTCTTGACAAGTAAAACACGCTCCTACTTCAACAATGCTCATAGGGTCACTCAGCAACTGCCCGCTTATAGCAAGTGTCACATAGCTTCGACCAAGGCCAAGAGTAATCTTGAATGCACATAAGAAAAATTTCAGTCAAGGGGGTGTAGGGTGTGAGAAGTGACAGGCGGCCAGTGGAAGAATGAGTGTTAAGAAACTCCTCCCACCACAAGCTATGCGTGGGATTTGACTAGGGATGCGGGGCCTTGTTTGAAGTTACATGACATTGTATATAACACATCAGTCAACAATAGAGAAGTACTTGGAAGCGGTGTTTTATATGCGGTCCATGCTGAGCTTATATGTATAATGAGCACACCAGCTGAGTTAACAGTTAGTTGTGTCAGAGATTGGCAGTTAGTTTTGAGTTGCAATGTTAGACTGCCACCAAGCAGCGGCTAGTGAAGGCATAGAAGACTTAGTGTTTGCAGTAGTGATTTGTAGGTTGTGTAGATTAGCGAAAGCATAAGATTATTTGTAGTTACAAGTTAACGGGCCTTCAGTAAATCCAGTTATCAATCCAAACCTAATGTCTGGTCACTAACGTGACAACATTGCAAACAGTGAGACGTTAAGTGTATTGGGGCTTGCTGAACAAGTGCATGCTGTAGCCCAGTTGTGTTGTGCATGGATGATAAACATGTTCAGAATTTGGTGGTAATTATGCACAGAAATTGATCACTAAAGAAATAATTATTGATTTGCAGTTAAGCTGGTCTCACCATGTAGACTGAAGTATTTGAAGTAAAGTCAGCATCATAAGTTCTTTAAAGAACTTCTTGTTTGGAAATACGTTGACACACAAACTTTCAGAATGATACATTGAATGGCATTGGTGTCACACTGACGTCAGAATCTTGTGTGACTAAAATGGATTCAACTGGCTGAACATATGATCCATTCTTATGGATATAGTAATGAACTTTTGAGTTCCATAAAACTGGGGAATTTCTATAGCCAATAAACAGCTATCAACTTGGCAAGAAAGATACTTTACCTTTGTGTTAAGTCAGTTGGTTAATTAAGTTGGCCAGGTGTCCACCCTCTTCTAGATCAGCAATGGCCAACTGGCAGCCCGCAACTTGATTTACTCCAGCCCCCCGCCACGTCTCAGGTTTATTTTCAAAAATCTTAACTTCACAGCTGTATTGGCATAGAATTCAGTTTTTAATAGGACGTTTCATTAGCTTACAGCATTTTGTAGTTGATTGTATACGTTCTTACTGAGTTGGACAGTTCAAACTGTTTTCTAATAACTGTGTTCATGTCATGGAAATTCCAAGTCCCCCAACCCTACTTCTGTAGGGAGATGACACTGAAGGGAAGACCGTAGTGCTGAAGGATTTATAACACCTTCAAAATAGTAACCATTTTCTCAGCTTGCTCTCAGGAATGGGATGTTTACTGTTTCTCTCGGCATCCTGGCCTTTGTTAAGTGCCAGTTTCAGCAGAAATGTCTCCCAGTTAGTGCAATTTTAGAAAGTGAAGTGTGATTACGGAGTGTGAGTGTAGAACTGTTTTTCAATTAAAATTGTGTTTGAAGTTATTGTAAGTGATACAGCATGTCAAATAGTAAATTGAGAAAAGTTGATAGTGAAAATAGGGCATTCAAATC